ACTTTTTTTTTTTTTTTAAATGTATAGAATGAGTAACTTCCTGCAGGCAAACCTCGCTCCCACCCCCCAAAAACCAACCAAACAAGAAACTCTTGACACTTCCTGAAAACCGGGTATATCAGAGTTTAATAAATACATAGGGGGTCATTGTTGAACTTAAAAACATACAGATGAGATCAAAATTAAAAAAAAAACAAAACAACCCCCAGAAAACCTTATTCCCTCTAAATTGATATACAATAATTACAGAATACTGTACAAAAGTGTTATTGTCTTTGCTCTGAATTGTTGTGTATGTGCAGCTTAGTAGACGTTTCACATTCAATTTGAATTTCAGTGCAAGTAGGCACAACATCCAACATACCTCCAAGGTATAAAGAGAAATAGCAGTTTTACAGGTTTCTCCACCATATTTTGTTACAGTGCAAAATGCAATATATTGTTTTTCTTTAAAAAAACAAAACAAAAAAAGAAGAGCCCATATAAATTAAACATATTGCACTTGTCCCAAGTAAAAGTGTAACATGTTCCATGCTTACCATCTTGGTGAAAAAGCTTGATGCTTTTAACATTGCCCTCCTTTCCCAACTGGTGCCACAACTTGTGGCTCCTAACCCAACTTTTAACTAGTCTTAAAAAGCAACTAGATTGAAGTTACCACTCTTAAACGTTACAGCTAATATTATAAAAAGTTTCCAGAGACCTTTCGGTTGTTGCCTTTCCTGTAGCACTGTAACTAAATACACAAAGTAAATCTGCATTCTGTAGGGTAAGTAGTTCAGAATACAAGTGTATTGAATACCAATAGCTTTGTGTCATTTCAACACCCTTATCACTATTGTGCAGAGGCACAAAACCATCACTTTACACACACACCTAGATATTGTCACCAAAATATGTACACAACACTCCCAACTATACAAGTGACAGTCCAGCATCCTTTTATATTAATAGTTTGAGCAGGGACATGAAGGGACTTTGGCTTTAACACACCACTGTCATTGTGTGTTCCGAGAATGGTGGGCTGCGTCATGTAAACCTCAAAAGAATGGCTTATGCCAAAGCTAATTAATACATTCCGTGCACATACAAGCGAGGAATACAGGCAAATCACTTCAATCTCAATTGCGCCGTCTCCTCAAATCTGCAGTTTAAAAGAAACAAAGTTTGGATGCTACCCCTTTAAAGCAAAGCAATTAAAAAGAAAGATGAAAAATGCTTTTCTAAACACAACTAAGACAGTAGCTAAAAGACAGATAAAGCCAGTATAAACCAAGATATTACCAAACTCTTATATTATACAAGCAAAGGAAAGAGATGTGGTTAGCTGAAGGTTAACTTAATTCATATAATTATGGGTAACCTATTCAACTCCTTCACCATGCGGTTTCTACACCCTCCCCCCCCCCACTATACATCTTCCAATCATGTACAAAACCTTAAAAAATATTTTCAGCATAAATTGTTATCCATCCAGTCATTTGAAACATGGTTGGAAAAAAAAAACAATTTCTGGTACTGTGAGATATTTCAGGCTTTTAGTAGCAATATAGTAGTAGTGTCTGTACAGTACATTTCTAGAGCAGGTCCCTACACAGCTTGGATTTTATAAGCCACTGTAGATCATGAATAAGGCAGTAGGCTGCTCAACCAGTGATAAGGTGAAATCCTAATCCATACATTTTAGGAATTCTTTATACACAACATTTATTTTAAACAGTTTCTATAGATCAAGTGTTTATAAAAATAAGCCAAGTCAAATTTCAGGTTCAGGAAACAAACACGTAACAGTCACTAAATTGCTGAATTCACAAGCTTGAAGGCTGCTGGATTGCTGGACCCGGCTCACATTCACGGAGAGTCTCTTCTGACCTCATGTACATAAGGAACACAGTGACAGTGGCAAAAGTAGCTGCATTGACAGGGAAAGCTCGGAGAAGTGTAGAAGTAAGGCCCCTTGTAAACACCCTCCAACCTTCATCATGGTAACTCTTCCTAATACAGTCCAGAATGCCTTTGTACTGTGCAACTCCCCCAACTCCATCTGCCTGAAGCCGGGACTTGATCACATCCACAGGATAGGTTGAAAGCCAGGATACAATGCCTGACATGCCTCCAGCTAACAACAGTTTGGGAATGATGTAACTGTCCTCAGCTTCACAGCCTAGGTATCTGGTCAGACAATCATATGTCAGGAAATAAAAGCCAAAACTTGGTGTCTCTCTTATGAACGTGGAAACCATGCCTCTGTTGATGCCTTTCAACCCTTCCTTTCGGTAGATCTTAATTAAGCAATCCAGAGAATTCTTGTAATTCTTTGACTTTAATTTGTATTCACCTGTGCCCTGAAGTTGCATTCTTGTTTTTGCTAACTCCATAGGGCAGCAGATGACACACTGAATGGCTCCTGCTGCTGATCCTGCAAGAAACTGGTTTAATGGAGTGTCTTTTCCAAGAGCACGAAGTGTGTTTCCCTGTACGCCAAACACAAGCGCATTAATGAAAGTAAGTCCCATCATTGGTGACCCAATACCTTTATAGAGTCCAAAAGCCTAGAAGACAAAAAAAAGCAAGTGACCAGTGAAGAAAAAAAGGATGATTACTTTTAAAGTCTGTAAAGAACATTACCTTTTCTTTACAGCTTTTGCAATGGTGCTGTTCTAACTGACGTAGTTGGTGACAGAAATATGGATATGTCCTAATAGCATAACATTGTTCACATTTAAACATCAATTTGATAGCTCTCATTCCAAAAAAAGTCTTAATAGGAGAATATTCCCAAATACTTATAAGCTTGGTACCTAGTTACTGAATTACACCATCAGGAACATATTCAGAACACTCCTAGGAAGTCTTTAATAGTTTGTTGGTTAAGTTTAACACTTTCAGCCCCCTATATTTAGTAGGCCGCAGAGTTAACTCAGCAATCCCTGTAGGCAGCCTAATAGGCAGCTAGATACCTACCCTTGATGTAAGGATTCCAAGTCCATTTGACACCTTGATTGGCCATTCCAGTGGCTAGTTATCCTGTTAAAATGGCATTGTATTTCCAAAGCTTGAATTATTCAAACTTCAAATTTCAGCCATTTCTCATTGTTTTTCATCTAAATTAAAGAACCTACTAGTTTCTCTGCATTTAGGCACACAGGCTTGAAAACTAGTACAAGTTTTTAACAGTTTAAAAGAACATAACGAACCTATCCCAAAAACAAAACTTGGATGTTTGATTCAGAAGTCAGTTAATCTGTCACCACTTTAGTAATCACTGCAGCTTTAATACCTCAATGCATCTTTTATACAAAGGACAGCATAAAAATTTGGAATTTGTTAACTAAATAGGCTACTTACAGTTTCTTGCTTTATGATAGACTGAAAGCAGTGGAAGGTCCCACGGTAGAGAGGTTTCTCTACATTTTGAACTTGAAGGCGCACCTATAAAAAGTATAAAGAGACTTATTTGTATGGCAAGATCAGGGTGATCAGCACATTAGTGCTCTGTACTTATACACTACAGTGGCACATACTCAAAGCACACAGTTACAATACCAGAGTGCCATAATGGCGATGTGAAATCGTTTTAGAAAAACTCTTCTGTAAATATTTGAACTATATGTTTTTCAGAATCCTGAAGGAGAAGAGAAGGGAGTGTTCATTAATAAGCCTTTATGAAAACAGGGAAAAATTTAAGTCATCTCAAAAGTGCAGTAGGGCAAAATGTATCATTTTATAGTCTTTTCCCCACCTAGCCTAAAGTCAAAACCACCCTAACCTAGATGATGCTGATAATACTGCCAACAGCCTGGTATTTCTGTAGAATTTGTATAACATGCTTCCAGCACCTATTAGATACAAAATGTGGCCAGCAACATACCATAAGGCATGAAATGGACAATTTGAGAAAGCTGTATGGCTTTCAAAAAGGCTAGCGTCTTTGGGGGCCCCACTCAAGGCACTCAGTGGGGTCTAATTTTTCAGAAGTAGGTGTACACTTTCTGACAAGTCCCTGTCAAAGGATTTTTAACTTGTGAGTTGAAAAACAAATATACTCTTCAAAATTTTAGCCCAGCATTGTATAAAGAGTGCTCATCTGGAAGTTCAGAAACTCTATGCTAGATGTAATCTTCACCTACTCTATTAAAGATGGGCCCTATATAACCTATCATTAATCAGTTTTTCTGCACTGGAAGGGGCATGTTTGTCATAAAGATGCTATTCTTAAGTGCCAGAAAGTGGGGAATGCCTATTCTTGGAGGGTTGTAGACCACTTTCCTTAAAATAAGGCTGCAATATTATTTTTCTTAATGTGTCTGCAGCATTTCAAAAGTTTCCAACTCTCCTCACTTGAGATGTATGCATGCAAAAAGCTTACTCTCCAGTAAAGAGCACTGATTTGGGATGAAGTGGTAAAATGAGAACTTTGCCTTTGTGTTGGTTGGTGGTATATTGGAAATGCCTACCAAGTATCAAATATACTGCAATTGCAAAGCAAAGCAAAGCAAAGACTGTTTTTTTAATTCAGACTTTGGTTAGAAAACCCACCACACAAGTCTCAGATCTACATGAGATTCTTCAACATTGTTCTCTCCACTGTGTTGGTGGGAGCTTTAAACAAAAGACGACCCACAAAGAGAGCAGAATACAGATAGTTAATCCAATGTATGGGTCAGAAACGGATTTTTGGCTATAGGGGTTTTATTTTTTTTAAAAAAAATATTATTGAAGTTTCATATTTAGTGTTAGTATTCAAGGGGAAAAAAGGGACAATGCATGTTTAAACCTCAAGCATTATTATTTTCCTCAAAGTAAAAACCAGATCATGTAATATGCAAAAAGGTCTCAAAAAGCTGTTTTGAACTAAAGTTTTGGATATGTTTAGCCTTAGCAATCCATACAGAGACTTATTATAACTTTTCAGTGCATAGTGAGTTTAAGCAACAAAACTGAGCGCTAAACTCCTCCAAGCTTACTCTGACACAGACATTTTATTCTGTGCAGGTCACTCAATGTAAGCATGGTTTTAAGAATTTAACAATTCCCAACTCTCTTATGCCACACACACTACTATATAATTTAAAGTTCATACAGCTCATTAGGATGTGATACCCCACCATCATAAACAAGACAGTAATTAGTTTAATTGTTACTGGGGGGGTTTTCATACCCTCCAGCTGTAAAGAAGTTAGACTGTCTTGTTTTACTATGAATTCAAAGTGCTGGGACTTTGAAGGTAAAGATGATAAATAATCCAATTGCTGTTACCTAGTAACTTTTTTGTATGTTAAAGCTAAAAACCAAGTGTTTTTTATACTGCTTGAAAGGGTTCAAATGGCAGACTATTTCCATTTCTAATTCTGTGGACTGTGAAATACTAACTTATAAACCTGTCACTTGTGCAAGATTAAATACAATGTATTCCCAGAACTTTAGCTAACCATTAGGCAAAACATTTCCAAATCTGGGACAAGTGGGCATTTTTTTAAAAAACACGGAAAACAGCAGAATTTTTGTTGATTACATTTCAGTTGCAAAGTGCCAGCAGAGATGCATTAATGGGCAATGTGTAAGTGAGGAATAAGAATGTTTATGCTTCAAGTTGTTACCACATGGCTGCCACTCATATAGCTCATAGTTAATATTTAGAACAACAAAATTGAAAGTGTGCAAGCTATGCAAGACTACATAAAGTGGGTTTTATTACAGAATTATGCTGCATCCTAATCTACACATAAAATTCTCTCTCATCTTTAAGTTTCTTCTCTCTGCATCTAAATCATTATGGCTTTTCAAGTTTATCACCCCAAGAGTAACAGCACTCCAATATCAGGTCACTGAAGATTTACATTAAGGCATCTGAGTGAGGAGGAAAAAAACAAAAAAGCTCTTTTGATGTATAGCATTTTTATGCATTTGAGGTGTGTACATGATAAGCATATACCCTCCAAGTGTAAATAGTAGATACAACCGGTCTCAGTTGAGCATGTCTAAGATCCAGTTTTAAAGCGAGTGTGTGCAACCTTAAGCACATAGTGAAAAATACGTTAAAAAGAATATTCAAAACAAAATCTATAGACTTAATGTTTACATAGAGAGGGAAGCTTATAGCTAGTCCCTCCACTTTACAGTTCTAGAAATGGGAAGCATCAATTTAAAACTAAAAGTTAGAAAGATTATAAATTGGTTTATTTTTGGGTTTTTTTTAGGTTTTTATTTGAACTAATACATTTTGGAATAAATTAAGACTGAGAGAAACAGAAGTGTTCACCTGGTCTATACTTACTAGGTAACTCTCCCGTGATGAGGCTTATCTGTCATCTACAACAAAGTAACACTTTTGCTGTTAATGAAGACAGCCCCTAGCTCAGAAAGTAAAGGCAGTTAAAAGCAACAAAGCAATTTTACACATTACATTAATAAACCAGGGATAGGGAGTTTGCCACTTTGGAGATTAAACTCAAAATCTGTTTCAGATTTTTCAGCATGACTTCAAAGATTCATTCTTTATCCCTGTGTGTCCCACCATACCCATATTCTGCCCCTCCCCCTCATACTTTGAACTTGGTGAAACATGATCATTGGCAAAAGAGTTTAAGCTGAAGGCAAAGTAAAACTGTGGCTTGATTTAAGCAGTTTCCCCATGTCAAAACAACTGTATTAATACAATGATTAACACACAAAAATCCACCGAAACACCCCAATTAGTCCCAACTCTATAGGACTGCCAAAGAGGCGTTAATCCTGAGCATAATACCCAAGAAATGACACAGTATACACATTTTTAAAAATAAGAACAGTGGTTTGATTGCTTAGTTTCCCCACATTTTAACATTGACTAAATGAACTGATGATATAAATATTATTTAGTATTACATTCTCCAGTACAAAAAATGGTATTGTTTCTTCTACCAATATGAAGTGCTATCCTAGACTAAATAAATGGCCAAAGCATAATCTGGACAAGGAGTCTATTCCATGTTATATTTAGACTACAGCCACTTCAATTCTTGTTCTGCATTAATTCAATGGTTCCCAAACTAGGGGACATGAACCTGGATAATTTTATTCTATATGTTTGCATTCACAAGTATAGAAGAGATGTACTAACTCAGAAACAATTTGGGAGCCACTGATTACATTAAAAACAAAGTTGAATACAGTTGTTAACGCTAGACTGACCTGTAAATGCTTAAGCACATGCTTAGTTCTCTGTGCTCCGTGTTGTTCTATGGACATGAGATGGAGTTATTCTTAAGCCTAAGCACGTATTTCAGCTCTGCTAATTCCAATGGATAAACTCATAGTACAGTAGTAAGATGTATCTAATCTTTTGCACCAAGTTTCTCAGCACCTATCAGTGAGGTGCTCAGTGAAATTCAGTTAAATTGTTTACCTAGCTTTAACACATCCTGAACAGCATACAGCTTTTCCTTCATTGAACAGTTTGTGGTGGACTGACAGGCACTAGTAGCCATAAAGTCTGTCCTAGGACACAGATCCGTGGGGCTAAGAAATATAAAGAGGGTGGTCAACTCATCACCATAACTGCTTCAGGTATTTCCCTTACTGCACAGGGATATGCAATCTTATTCTGAACTTAAAACACAATGTCCGAAGGTCTGCTCCTCAGAGCAGCAAGTGATCCAGTTTATTTATTATTACCTAGATTCTCTCCTGGGAGACTATTCTATCCAAGCTGGGACATGGACTTTTTGCATAAAACTTTCTAAAAGTGACCAAATCCTAAAACAACTTAAGTACTGTGGAGTCCAAGTCTCACTGGCTCCCCAAGCGATTCAGATGCTTCTGAGTGTTATTAGCTGTTAATAAGCCTCTCTCAGAGATAGGATACTGGTGTTCTACATCTCAAAGAACAAGCAATTCTGCCTTGGAACAGAAAAAAAAACACGTTTCATCAGAGGTAAAGGGGAGTGGAGCCAAAAACAAGATGTCAAACTGAAACTGCTTTGCATTGTATTCCTTTTGTCTGCTGATCTGACTACCACCCAGTATAACTAACAAAGTAATGCTTGTTGAATGAATAGGGAAGCTTAAAAAAATCCTATCCAGTAGTAAAGTAAGATTAAATCACAGCTGGGGAAATAGGCAGTTTTAGATGTTAGTGATAAACAGCTGCAGAAAAGCAAGTTTGGAGCCAAATTCTTACATAACTGTAACTTGTCATAAATACAGGACATTACACCAATCAGTGTGCAGCTTAAGTCAAGTCTTGTCCCAATTTGAATTCAGACACAAATAGTTTTCGTTCACATTTGAGGATGTAGGGACTCAGGAAATCTCCAAACCTATTTTAAAAGGATGGCTCCTAATTTTGGACCATTGAGTTTATGCTTCCGGCACGTGCGCTTTCACTTGCTCAAGAAGACTTGCACGATGCCCTGCCTAGTCTGCAGTAACGAAACCTGTTAAAAAATCAACCCACCTTAACCGTGTCAAAAGGATGTCCCACTAGCACCCCAGCAGCACCTGAAACACAAACAGACAGCAGTTGCACTGGTGCTGGCTTTCACCCCGTGCCCCGGCTAGCTCTTGGGGAGTCCCAGCACGACATACTGTGCGTGGGACCAGCGGCCCAGGGCGGTCGTGGCTGTGGCCTCGCCACCTTGTGGAAGCCGCGCTGTCCCGGCTCCTCGCAAGCGAGCAAGTGACTGAGATCAGCACGCGGGCAACTGGGCCCCCTGCGCACCACGCGACTAAGAGCAGTCGTGGCTTCAAGAGAAAACAAGCAGTGCGGCCCGGTCGTGTGGTGGGCAGCCTGTGGCGAGGTGCGGTGCAGACTTGCCAGCGGCCCCTTAAAAGGCCAGGCCGCGACCTGGGCGCCAAGCACCACTGTACTGCGCCTCAAGCTTTCCCCGGCCGGGGGGGGG